GACTCCGTCAATGTCAATAGAGGCAGCATCAGACCCTTCAGTTTCTGTGCTGCTAGCATCAGTATACTGTGGAAAAACAACATTTTCCACAGCGTGTATATTTTTGCAGATGTGCCCAACAGCACCATCTGCAAAAGGTTCACTGACCTGTGACACAACAGTCGACTGGTCGTTGTTAATTCCCTGCCCGACAGCAGTAGTGTTTGATGCGATAAGGGTAGCATCATCCCCTTTAGTTTGTTCATTAGACGTATCCATATGATATCCCACGAGTATTAGGGAAGTATAAAGTCGCCATCGGCAGAGCCCATTTACCGACAGAAGGCAAATTGAAAGCGGAGGTCGCCTGGTATCCGCAGTTCGCTATTAAGGTCATCACTAGCCCCGTGACCAAGTTCCTACAGGCATAGCTGTTCCACCGTAGATTGGGGGGTTGTTCGGGTCTCATTCATACATACACACATACTACACCATACACCATACATCCTAGGTACAAAAACTATAGATTGTTTCATATCTTCAATCAAACCCAGGGTGTTTTCCTTCACCCCGCCTAGTTGCTGGCGACCCCAAAACCAGCAGAGACATGACCTAACTGCTTTGGGGTCATCGATCCTACAAACAACTAAACTTCCATTAAAGGCCGATCGATTGACTAACGAACTTAATGAGTAGCACCAAAATGCAAAGACTCATCTACTCCCCGAGACGCTAAGATGTTATAGTAGCCATTCGGACCACGTCAGTCAGCCTACATAAAGTTACTACTAATACACATAAAATTACTACTACTACAAATACTACGTAAAATAAAACAAACACAACTACATAAAACAACAAAACATAGACTACATGACAACACAAAACTACCTAAAGGTAGATCTTGGTTGTACACCTCGTTCTAGAAACGTTAAAAATTCACAGTCGTCTGACAAATGCCAGGTGATTGCGAATATTCATATTTATAGTCCGAGTTGTAGCTAAGCCCCTACACCACGTCAAGGTGCCTACCATGTAGGCAATTTGCCCATGCGCACATAAATAAATTTGTTACTGAAGGTGTTTTTTATTGTTCCATAAAATGCAACAATCAACGACCAAAAGTGTCTTCTATGACAATCCTTGCCTACGAATGCATTACTTGCAAATCCAAGGATATGCACAATTTTCTAAAAAAAAGAACATCTGGGGAATTTGTTTGAAAGTGATGCTGTACTATACAGTTGCGATCTACGCAAAACTCAACTGTCGTGTAAGGAACTAGACTCTCCAACAGACACGTCTATAAAAAGACTATTTGCATCGCAAAGTGCCTGCAAGATTAAACTGTAATATGGCTTCCTATTGAAATAAGTCAATTATTTTCCAAGTAGAAGCTTTTGATAAATACCTCAAGCTAGCAAGAAGGAACGAGAGTATGGGTATGCAACGCATATCAATTGGTGAATACAATTTTGAGGTTGTTAGTAACTTTACCTACCTCAGTGCGTTGATTAGCAACAATAATGATTGCAGAATCGCAATAAGAAATATAATACAAGCAGCAAATAGATGTTTTTATAAATATTCAGACTTGATTAAATCAAAAGTACTATCCAAGGAAAGTAAGCTACGAATGTACAAGACAATAATAAGACCGGTAGTTACATATGGCTCAGAAACATAGACAATGACAATAGACAATAAGGCAATTGTATTTGCCCTATATCTTAAATTCTCCCTATATGTAAATCTCCTTCTTTACACTCGTCCGATTGTGACCACAACGAATATTTTGTGTTTCTTGATTGGAATTTGTCAACAAATCTATTGAAATAGAAAATATAATTAATAAAAAGTAATTGTATTTTCTATGTACACATATGCTTCAAATAATTGGTAATACATGGTACAAATCTAAAATTTTTGCTAAAATCTTCATGGGGAAAATTCCATAAAATTACTAATATTTCCATGCTGATGCACTTCATCTCTTGAGCTTAATACATTTGAACAAGATTTTAAAAATGGGGTAAAGAATCAGTTTCGCTATCGTTCGATGATTGTATTAATATCTTTAAATAAATTTTCATTTATTTACTACAGAATTTAAGTTAATTTTTAAAGTTTATAATAAACGAAACTGACATTTAATAATTTATAAATTTTAGCAGATTACATATTTTTTAATATATTTTAGATTTCTTATTTTTTGTATTTAAAATTTTTTAAGCTATTCTTTTAGCACCAAAATTATTTATATAAATCAAAACAAAATTTTGTAAATAAACACAGTTGACATCAAAGAATATCTTTACAAGAACGGAAACTCCGCCCACTTCGTGAGAGTGCATTTGAAATTGTTTTTGAAAACTTATTTTTTATAACATTTCGGCACACGTATTAAATACATGTGATCTTACCACGATAACATCAAATTGCTCTCTTTTTGGGGTTGCAGTATAATAATTTGCTGCTACTTGTTAATCATATGTTAACTTTTTAGTAATATAAAAAACTTATGCTTCCTTATTTGGTTAATAATATTACATTACGTAAACAAAATATATATTGTAACAAGTAATATATGATAAATAAATTTATAAATTAATATATAATAATTTGAATCAATTAATTTAAATCAGTTTAGTTTGTTTAATAATGTAATATATATTCAGTAAATTAATTTTTGTTGCTATTTTCATATGAATTTTATAGTATTTTAATTTATTACGTTCGGCAACAAACTTTTGTAGAAGCAAATTTTTTAATTAAATAAAAACAAACAGTTTTGAATATTTCTTATTTAGTGAGTTATATTTTCTTATATATTTTTTGAGCGTGTAAAACATTATTTCAAAAACAATTTTGATATAATAGCATTAAATACCGTTTTGATGTGAAATTAATAACAAAGATTGAAGCTACTACCAATTCACTTTTTTATACGGCAGCACTTAAGTGATCCATGATAAATTGTGTTTCTCTGCGAAGACTTAATTTTTAAATTTAGTGCCAAAAAATATGTTGATGAGGAAGGGTGTACGCGCATTCCCTTTAAATGTGTGGTACGTATTATTGCCTTGCATGCATTTCTAATTGATTAGTAACAATAAATCTGTTGATAAGGGAGGATGTGCGCGCATCCGCTCTAAATGTATGTGGTGAATAATACTTATTATTAATTTACGTACATTAGTGTGTGATCAGTAGCGAAAAATCTATTGATAAGAGTGGGTGCATGCGCATTCATTGTCGGATTTAAGAGTTTTTCTTATGAAGATATATTTTTATATAAAATTTAACAATTTTTAAATTTTAATATTGAAAAATTTTAATTTTATATTATGATTATAAAATATATTTATATATAAATACTAAAGTATTTAAAAATATTAGCTAAGTTTAATTAAAAGAAGTACAAGTTGTTTACATAATTTATTATTGTTATGAAATGAAATAGACTTGATTATTTACCAGAATTAATGCAAGATTTAAACGAGATATATGCTATACATTTTTAGTTCATCTGTTTAATGAATATTATAAATATTTATATAATATAAAAATTAAAAACATATTTATTTTTTTTTGTGTTGTTTATGTATAGAATATATGAATATTTTCTTCAGAATTTAAATGATCTTAAAAACATAAATTTATTAGGGTTCATGATATGATCATTAACATGTAGCGCCTTATGTTTATGTTTTAAATATTTTAATCTCAATGTGAACATAAAATGCACACTTACTAATATTTTAAAATAAATAGTAAAATACTTTCGTTAAACTGTTTTATTAGAAATATGCATAGAAATTAAATGAAAATTAATTTTCTTTCATCATTATTGTGTGAAAATTTAAAAAAAGAACTATAACAAATTTTTTACATTCCTTGTATTTTCCTATTTCTACATTTAGTTTATTTAGCTATGTAGTTTATTCGACCAAAGTTCAAGATTTGGTATGCATTTTCCACACCACCCAAGAGGTATGCATAAAGGTGCGTTACCGAGTTTATATGTCGGTTCCCCAAGAGGCATATCCACTATTATATATTGGTTATAATTTTTTACAGATTTTTACAAATACAAAATTAACAGAATAATAATTACAATACTTTTAAAAATTAATTGCAAATTTAAATATACATAAACTAAAAGCAAAAAATTATTAAAGTAAAAACTTAATTTATATGTAAAAGTCAACTGAATATCATGTGGAAAACTAAGCTTATGAATGCGTTACACGCAAGAGCTTTTGCTTATAGTCAGGTGTATTTAGAACCCTATTAAAAAATTTTAACAGGATATACATGCGTACCCTTATAAAAAGAGTTAAAATACTGTCTGTTTTGCAGTTTTGACAGCAAACATATGGACGTATATTTTTTAATTTTTGGTATAAAAATTGTGCTATACCTACTTTTTGGTAACTGCTATTAAAGTGTTTGCAAAATTTTAACAACTTTTTGTTAAATATTTGCGCAGTAAATTTTGTATGATTTGGCGCAACGAAATTTTATATTACTCTCAAAAAATCAAAACCAAAAAACAAAACCACACTCTTTCTTACACTCTTCATGGTAAACTTTTTGAAATATTTCGTTCTCAAAAGTACTCGAAGCATCGGAAAAAGGTGAAAAGGTGAAAAATTTCAGGGATTTCAGCTGGTGTTAGTGCACTTTTCACTAACACTTTCAAGAGCTCTACGGCAAATTGTTGTTGTGCGAAAAAACAAATTTTAGTTCACAATGGAGTTGCCGTTCTTGTAAGGTATTCTTTGGTTGACATGATTGATGCGTTGCCAATTACTTTCAATTACAATTGTTTGCTGAAGCACAGCTATTGTAATGGAAATGTTCGAAACAAACGAAAAAAAAATTATATTAACTGTTTCTCAATTAATATATATCCGTACTGTCCCATATTGACTAAAATATTTAGTTTTGTTTATTCCAAAACGTATAAAAAAAAATTTTTTTAATGAATTCGAAAAGAAACATTCTATTTGTAATAATAGAATAGAATCATATTAATTATAACTTTATGCTTATGTACACAAGGAAAGATGTTTAATTTACTGCTGGTATATCAACATTTGACATTTGTGGAACCTAAATTGTGGATAAATTATATTAAAAAAATAGTGAGGTTACTTAACAAAAGTATTTAAAAGAGAAATAATGATTGCAGCGATTCCTTGTAGAAACAATGTACTATTTCGTGGAATGGTGTTTGGGAGTTACAAAAATACATTTGCTACTAAAGCTAAGAGCCTAAACGATGAAAATGAAGAACCTGAACAACCTCCATCGTTCATGGAAGAAATTGTGGAAATTCCTGTAAATCCGAAGAAATTTAACAAATCGAGGTTATTAGCACAACATAGGAACATGTTAAATGAAAAAATACCCTATCAAGAACCACAATCATGGATTCACTTATCAGAAAAATACCAACGCAAAATATTTGGAAAATATGGATCCCAAAGTGGTATTGATCCCCGGATTTGTTTTAATACAAAGGAAGATTTAGCCGCTAAAAACAAATATGAAAAAGCTGCTCATCCTTATACTCTCCAACAGATGATAGCTAAAGTGAATGAAGAGAAACTGGCAAAAACGGAAAAAATTCAGAAACGGGAGGACGAAATCGCTAAAAAATTAGTGAAACTTGATCAATGGAAAAAAGAGTTAAACGCAAAAATAGCTAAAAAAGAAGCTGAAATGCAAGCAGCGAAGGATCGTAAGGAACGACTTATTGAAGAAGTTCGTCGTCATTTTGGTTTTAAGTTGGACCCCCGCGATGATAGATTTAAAGAAATGTTGGAACAAAAAGAGAAAGAGGACAAGAAAAAACAAAAGGAAGCCAGGCGAAAATCCAAAGAAGACCAAATGGTTGCGAAACTCTTGCAAAAGTCCGAACAGTGAAATAAATAAGCATACATAAATTTTTAAGTTTATTGTTAAATATTACTGAAATAAAATAAATAATATTATTTTGCGTTGTCTTGATTTGTAGCTCCTGATATAAATACTAATAGTAGGACTGGAACAATATACATCCACTGAAATTGCACAAAGTTAGGATTTAGTTTATAAATGCAAATATGTCTTACGTATTTCGCAAAAAAGCCACGATTGTCACGAACTTCGCCTCTCTCACGAGCTTCTCGTTCGCGTTCAACTTTTTGTATAAAACTAGCAGTATCAGGAACTGGTGCTAATTCTGTATGTTTGATTAACACGTCGGTATTAAAATCTTCTAGTTCAGATATCGGCAGTTCGAAATTAGAACAATCATCGGTGGCCGAAGAACCCACAGTTTGGGAAACTGCAGTTACAAATCCAGACCCATCTATCGAAACCCAGAGAATGTCATTAAGTTGCGCTGCTAAAAGACTACATGCTTTGGTTGAGGTCATATAAGTTTGCTTTACTCCGTTTGCGTAAACGACCGTAGCACTTAGACGGTAAAACATATTTTTTTTAGCAAGGGCCTGTAAATATGATGTTTCATATATATTATATCAAGTTAATTGAATTACCTTTAGGTTTTGATATTCTTTGTCAGTAAGAGCATCTTGCAAAATGTTAGACAATCCTGAATTTAAACTAGGTATAGTTACATTTCCACGATACGAAAAGCTTTCAGAATTAACAGAATCAAGTGCATGACGAAGCTCGATATTTATCCACCCATCGTATTCAAGATAACACTAATGAAAAATTTTAATGTAAAAATGGATTCGATTATAATTTAATTTGTTTATTTACTGTTCCCAAAGAAATAATTGACAAAAGACAAATTACAGTAGAAATAAAACCCATGATGAACTACGAAATTCACTGAGCACAAGTGGTTTGTATAAGTGGTCTGTCAAACTGACAATTCTTTTGGAATTACAAATTAATAGATATGACAGTTTTATTTATAAATTACTTTCTTAATACACATGATTTCCATATAATATCTTAAATCAAACAATATTATATATTATACTAGTATCGCCTTAATTTTTAATAACCTGTTATATATTGTTCATTTCGCTTAATAATAAAATATTTATTAAATAATTTCTCTGATTTCGTTCCATTGATTGATTATTGATTACAGGTGAAATACCATAATTTAATTCCACAAACGCCTTAGATTTGTGTGAACACATTGAAAAGTCTTTTAAATCTTAATTATCTAATTTTATTTGATTTTAAAGGCTCAGTTAGACGGAAGGTAACGTAAGAAATTATTTCAAAGCGAAATGTATTGGTTGTGCATTTCGCTTCGAATTAATCTCTTACGGTACCTACCGTCTAACTGAGCCTTAACACTAACAGGTGCCTAAATGTTTTGAATTTGTGCTTGAAATCTTACGCTTTCTAATATATTAATCAAACCGTCGGTTATTTATTCAGTGTAGCAAAATATCATAATTTTTTTTTCCATTTTAAAATTTAACAAAGTTATAATTTGACTATTTAATAATTTAATATATAATTTAATTGATATATGATGAAATTGAATTTAATAAAAACCACAGTGAAAAACAGGGATTCATGCAACTTCGTAAATTTTACAAAATTGGTAGACTTACAGTTTCCGCTAAGTACGACATATCAAAGGAGCAGAAGAAAATGATTGAAACATTTTTTTAAAAATTTTTTTCTTCAAGGTTTGATAAATTTTCGGGATGAAATGAGTTAATTTTGGTACTAAATTGCGAATGGATGTTACTCAATCGTCAAGCATCTGTAATTCCTGAGATTTGACATCTTTAAGGAATTCATCATCTTTTTCAGCGTCTAAAAATATAAAGGAGTATATTGTATTAATGATTTTATTTTTTCCACAAAATTACTAAGCATCAATTCCTTTAATAAAAGAAATGAAACTAACTGCATTCAGAAACTTTTGCGAAATTTTTTCTAGAGGGTTACTCATTCACCTTAGGAAAATCTCTTAAGAGAAATTTACGAAGCTGTATGAATCCCATTATTATGTTTCTGAAAATATGATATCATTTCTTTATGTTTTTTTTTTGTTTTAAAATTATCTACAAGACAATCGCATTTTAACAAATATGTATATTGGTTTCAATCTCTATTGAATATACTATAGTGATTGGGGATAACAGGCTTTGTTTCAGTAATACTGTGAATTACTGAAACACCTGCAATCTTTCCAATGAGTGCACCTTATTTGATATATACTAAAAGAACCTGACAATCTGCAACAAATTTATTGTGAAACCCAATACTTTTGAAGTATTTTCTCTGTTGCTGGCATTTTGAACTGTTAAAGCTTTTGGGTTCTAATGATGCTTACGAGAAATAAAAATCTCATTTGTTTTGTAGTTTACTACATCACCAATGACACCTTTAGAGACTTAAAAAAAATATTAGTTCTCTTAACATACATCAGAGTACAGATTGCACGTGTCGTAAGCGTACTGGGATAATAAAATGGATTTCAATCCTGGAATATCATTTGTATAAGCAAGTAGTATGAGAATTGTTATACTTTTTATAACAATTAAATAAATATTTCATTCTTATAATATTAAAAACAAAAAATCTAAGATTTAGTGTTTTGTAGAAAGTTTAAAATAAAATTTAGCTATTTGCAACAATAATAAATTCCTGAAACGCTTTCATTAGCAAATTTTATTTATTTTTATGAATATATATGATTATGAATATTTAAGTTATTTTGTTAAAAATTGGGGTTATTGCACGAAGAAAATTTATTTCAAATTCTTTTTCCGAAAATCTTTCTACGGATGAGCTGCAAATAAATTAAAAAAGTTAAAGGCAATAAATTCATTGTTCTGAGCGTAACAAAAATAACTTACATAGCTGCATTCTGAATCGCATCGTTTTCTTCTTTTGAATTGTATATAATGCTCAATATGCAGTTAGCATATTCCACTGCATCAGCAGCTAAGTATCCATTTTGACATCCTTCTGATGTTTCTATGATATCCAACAGGGGACCTCCCGATCTGTGAGCTACCATTATAATGCCAGCAGCCATACATTCGACTATACCAATTCCAAAGTGCTCATTCCACATAGTATGAATACCAATTTTCGCCCTCTTATATAACTGCAATAACTCATTATATGGAACATTTACTTTGAATTCAACAGAATTTTCCAAGGATAAATGTTTTGATAAATCTTGCATATTTTTTAAACGGTCGTAATCTTCCTCATTTCTGCATGATCCTACAATAATGAGTTTTATTTTATTCCACAAAGCTTCGTTACGTGCCAATAGTGTCCTGAGCTCATACATAGCTTGTAATTGAAGAGGATGATCTTTTTCAGGACGGAACTGGCCAACTGATAAGATAATGATTTCATCAGGATTACCAGCGTAAGGTAAATTTTTAATATGATTTACTTCACAAGGCGGATAGACACGATGTGTTTTGAATGGGGCATCCCACAATTCCAAGATATGATTTTCAGTCCAAGAAGAATTTACCATTATAGTTTCAGAACATTTACCAACTGCACTATAAATCTTAACTTATATTTGAATTATGTATTTTAAAATAATGTTGTTTGAACTAACCTTCGCAAATATTCGGTAGTATGTTATTTTCATCCATGTTAAAAACGGATTGCGAACGACATAGTTTTGGTTGTTATGCAAAAATTCTCTTTGCTGCACTCTGCGTAACATATCGGTACTTATAGTAGGATAGTGTACGTAGCAACCCACTTTACATGAACCCAAATACCGGAATAGAGGTAAAGTAAAAGCATATCCCATCGTATCTATATAAATATCTGGAGGAAATTTGCACAACGCCTCTAGTCCCAAAAGCACAGATCCAATACTTTGACCAAGAAGCGTAAAGTAGGGATACATATTTGCTTCTATCCATTGTCTACGTTTGAGATAAACAAATGTTATGTTTTCTTTATCTAGACTTATATTAAATATGTTTTGAACATTTTCCAAAATGTTGTTAGGGGAACTATCTATGTCCCCAGTGTAGATTATTATTTTGACGTTGTCATATTTTGCCTGCAATGTATGTTGAATATTAGGATATGATTGTGAAATAAATGCTTACTTTACCTGTAGCGCTCTTATGGCACACCATAAGACCCGTTCACCGCCGCCGCCAGCATTGCAATATGGATGGAAGATTCCAACATTGACAATTTTGTTTTTTGATAATTTTAACTTGCGACTTTGCAACCACTTTCGTAGGCAAAAGCCGAATGATATCAGACTCAGTATCAGAAAGAGAAAAGTATTAAATATATAAATGCTAGAAATGTTAAAATAGTGTAAATGAGGGTACGTTAAGGTAAATTAATGAGTTTTCGATGCTTACAGTTTTAACAACATAATTTATTATTATAAATTTATTGTTAGTCACCACAACAATAAATATCCGGTAAGAAGCGACTTATTACCAAACAGATGTTCAAAATTAAGCCGCAGTTATAATGCACAGTTCTTAATACGTGATACAACATAATTTTTACTTAATTGGTCAATATGGAAAATATTTTTAATTCAAAATTGTAGGGTTTTCTAACATTTTCAATATTAAAAAATTTTATGCTAAATATTTTATGAAATAAAAATGTTGAAGAACTTGCTAATTTGCTAAATTGTTAAATACGAACTGACAAATTAGCTTTTATCAGTTTATTTACATGTTATATTCTGGGAGCGATTTTGAAAGTTTCAGAGAGTAATGTAATTGAATAACTTAATAAAATAAATATCCTGAGACATAAATATATGATACGTGGAAAATCATACATATGTTTCAGATCGGTGTAATGAGAGGAACCGATTTTATAATTTCCATTTTTCTGTATGACTATGTGCTAGTCCTGCAAATGCAGAATATCATTTATGCTCCACGCATAACTACATTCTAGCAGCTTATAATAGGTCTGTTCCACGAGCTGCTCGTAGTAAAACACAAGTACAAACTCGCTCTTTATACAGATTTTTATAGAATAGTTTTGTGTAAAATCTGGTAAGAACATCAGTGCCGCGCAAATAACCAATACAAAAATTTAAATTCAAGAAAAAACAGCTGATTCACGCATCAACAGAAATTTTACTTGAAATAAAATGTACGAGTAAAGTCTGGAGTGTTACTCAAAATTATTACGAGTAACTCGTGGACCTAATAGTAATAAAATCAAATTCGACTTCACATCAAAAACAAATTTGATATGTGAATACATTAAGAAAAGAAGAAAGAAAAATAAAGACACTAAAAAAACATTTAAAAAAATAGTTATAAAATAAACAATTAATTTTAATTATTACAATTATTTATTAATCATGAAGTGAGAATATAATATTTTTAAAATTGGTTTAGTAAACATCGTACATGAATAAAATTCGATTTATGTGTACACAATATATATATACGCATAGAATAATTTGAATCATTACGTTATTACGTTATTGAATCACGCATACGTAAACATATGATATTCATACGTTGTTTAAGTTAAAAGGCGAAGAACAATATTATATCTTTTATTTGTTTCTTGTTTAAGCGAAGTCGTAATTAATAATAAATGGATTATTTTCAACCCATTATAAACTGTTTTTCTACGCTTTGTAATTGTTTACAATGTTCGGAGGATTTGAATAATCAAGTAATATTCTGTTGTGTTTTTATTATAATTGTTTTACATACTTATGGTAATATAGGCGTATGAAACCAACGAGCGTACTCATCTTTTAGCTGATCCTGTAAACAGCAGTCCAGCATTGAGACACACAAGCACTCATACTGTAAGCAATGAGTACTCTCAATCACTTCCAAAAAAAGATGACCAAAATGCCCTTTGCCGTATTTTAGTGCAAAATACGGCCATGTAAGTAAGCTAAAATACTCACTGGATATTTTATCACTACACAATAATTTTACTTTGTTATAGCAATATGATAGATGTTGGTGCAATGGATTCCCATAATTTAGAACATCAAGAATATAGCGATAGGATAAAATTATATTCGCAACGTCTGCAGCAACAGTGGAGTAATATACAACATCCGGAAAAAGTGCAAACTGGTTAGTTATGGTGTATACTCTTTCTACACAAATGCATTCATAATTTGAACTTTTGAATTATAATTATGAGTCATCCAATATTTTGTTTTAAAAACAAAAAAAATCTTTTCTTTTGCTATTTTATACTGAAGGTGTGGTCCTTTACAGATTGATGTTAAAATCCGTTTCCTTAATTTGTACAGTATTAAAAATATTACCGATTTTTAAAATGTTATTTAAATTAAAATAAGTTTGTATTTATATTACTTATATGAATGTATTTACAGTTTATTAGTGCATAAGAAATTCTACATATATTCCTTCCACATAGGTCTATTAAAAGATGTTTCCAATCCTGAATACTTTTTAAAGAAAACGGCCAAAATGGATGATTTATTGCAGGTACTTTCAAAAAATTTCTAAACTATGTTAATTTAAATAAAATTTTTGAACTTTAGATAAAATACGCAGTTAATAAGGCCCAAGCCGCGCTGATGGATGTCAAAATAGATCACAAAGAAGCTATTGTTGTGCCTTTCCGTATACCATAGTTTTGTGTAATAAGAAATTTTCATAAAATTATAATTTATAAGTGTAAGAAATATGTCAAACAATAAAATATTTTTTGTAATATTCGATAACGAATTTTGTACTATTAGTAAATTTAAAAATCAAAAAATGAAAAAGTAGATTCAAATGAATTTATTTAAATAGAAAATACGTTTTATTTTTAATTTAGTTTATTATATATTGTTTTATTGAAAAAACATAATCGCGATCTTTTGGCATATATTTTTGGGAAAATTTTTTAAAACAAAATATTCAAAATGTCGTTCACTTTTAATCATAAATTTTGGGTCGCAACCAGAAAAGATATTCAAAATTTAATTAAACGGCAAAATGTTCTTAAGAAAATGAAACCAATTCAAGACCCCGTGCTAACGTATAAAATATTTTCTCAACTTTACGTTTTGTATACGGAAGTGGTCAATAAATTGGGATATTTATACAGCAACACCTTTCAAGTCCAAAAGCGTCAAGTTATAAACGGATTAGTAGACACAGCATTGAGGAGACTTATAGAGTTAAAAGAAGAATTAAAAAGATTAGAGCTTTCTGAATATGTTTACATGGATAAAGCTCTTATTGCCCGTAAGTTAACTCCACACGATTTGGTAATTTGGCGTTCGCCACAGTTTTTATATAGGAGACCTCCAGAATTGCAAGATATTCTGTATGAACATAAAATATTTATGGATGAGGAAGCTAAGCTAAACGAACAAAGTAAGATTTTAGCTAAAATTGGCGAAGCAATAATTATTATACAAGCGCATGAGAGAGCTAGACGTGCTCGATTATATAAAGCAGCAATTAAATACGACAAGAAAAAATACCTTATTGTGAGGCAACCAAATAAAGTTAAATACACGTTTTCACATAATGAAGGCCCAATGAGTATACCCGTTAAACGTACCATTTTCAATGCCAATTTTATAAAGCCTACAGAAGAATGTAAATACTTAACCGAGTCAGGAGTAGATGCTGAGGATGAAATTGGTATAACTCATTTTGTTAAACATTTAAAAACATATTAGCATTGTTTTTTTAGAAATCGATGAAAATGAACTACGGCGTTTGAAGGACGAAGCTGCATTAAAAATTCAAACATTGTGGCGTGAGTTCAGCACTCTAAATGTAGTGAGGCAAAAAATTAAAATAAAACAAACAATCTATGGAATGAAATTGAAAAGAAAACTAGTAAAGCCCCATGAACGAGCAGAATCAATTATGGATACTTATAAAAAAGAAATGCTTAAGAAAAAACTAGATGAAGATTTCCAAAATCTTATAGAAAGTGAAAATACCAGATTATTACAAGAGCGAAGTCCGTGGATAATGGAAGATATATCCGATCACATTCGTGCCTGGTTTCGGGAATTGTAAGTAGAAAATTTCAAAGTTAAAGTTGAGCTTTATAATAAATTAACGCAAGAACGTTTGTACGTAATAAATATTTATGTACATGTGTTGAATTTTAGTTATGACAAGGTCGGAGAATTTCATCCATATCCCGATGCTTTAAAGGGTGGTACTGTTCTAGTTGTAATTAACGAAACCATGGAACCCATAGAATTTTCGGAGAAGAAAAATAAAAAAAATGCAGCTCAAGAAAAAGCAAAACAAAAGGAAAAAGCAAAACAGGAAAGACAAAAGGAGAAACAAAAGTTAGCGAAAGAAAAACAAGCGCGAAAGAAGATGAAAGAGGCAGGAATAGTTGATATTGGTTATGAAATTTCAAGCAATAAGTATACAGGTAAAACTAAAAACTGGAGATATTTATTTTTTCGATTGAAAATAATCTAATTTATTAGATTATTTATGTTATTAATTCTTCAAATAAAGTATGTTTAAAGTTATTTAATCCGACAGTATTATGTCCTTTAATCAAACTAATTTATAGTCGAACAGTAATCAAATCGGATTAATCAGCAGTAATTTGGAATATTGTTCTCTATTTTTGCAAAGTTGTAAACTTTCAAAACTATTTATAAACTACATAATTTTTCTGTAGTTAATTAAAATTTATTCAAATAAAATGTGTTTATTTTGAGCAATAGAATAATGGAATATTTTTCAATCTTTTAGTAAAAATGGAAGAGATAATGGAAAAGTACTCTACTGATTGGAAATTTATTGATGAATATTTAAATAAGCACCATGAAGCGATTAAAGAATGGGTAACAGATAAAGAGTTGTGTCAAATACATAAGGACTTAAGACTTTTAGTGGATGAATACATGAGGTAAATTCATTTCATTGTGAAATAAAACGAAATAAAATCAAATACTTATTTCAGGATTGAATATGAGTTACTAAGAAAAGCTTTAGCAGCAGATCTCAAGAAGAAATATAGACCGACTAAAGCAAAAAAACCGAAAAAGAAAAAGGGAAAAGGAAAGAAGAAAAAGGCAGTGCATGATATGACAGGAGATCGAACATTAGAATCTCTTTATGATGAATTGAAAGAGGCTAAACTTATTGAAAAGTTTGATCATAAGACATTCGACAACTTTGTATCGGAGTTTAATTTTGTTGCTGACGATTTAAGAGATGAGAATAACTTAACGTAAGTTAAGGGCCAATATAAATAAGCATTAAATTGCCTAATCCAAAAAAGCATAGTGAGAATATCACATTTATTAATTTTATCTTGAACAAATAATTGGATTAACTTTTGCATTCTGTATTTAATTTTCTTAAATATATATTTTATAGCACTCTTGGACCTGCAAGAGGTGATATAAAAATGGTAATACAAGAATGTATGCTTGGTATGGGTGAATTCGGAGTGGATAAGCCTAAATCGCTGTGTATTGTCGGACCACCAAGTACTGGAAAAAAACTTCTTAGTCAAATTATTGCTTCAGAAATTGGTAGGTTTTCAGTATTTTGATTTCAGTTAGCTATTTGATTTTCCAATCATTTTCCAATATTCCAATCATTTGGAACTTTAGTCTTACACAAAAGAGGTGTAGTAATGATTTTAATGATATGTTTTTAAGATAGTTACTTTGATAAAAAATACGAACTTCTATCTTGAGAGATTGAGCACATCTTGAATAAGAGCTTGTTAATATTAAAAGATTGCTCAATTCTTATATTTATTCTTATATTTATTGCAATATTAAGTTTAAGGAATATCCTTCAATATTCACGTTTTACATTTCTACTTAAAATAAAAAACATTTATAAACAAGTTCAAGAACGTTTCCCAATCGTTACGTACTTCTAAAAGTACAAAACTTTACGACCAACCGATCGTAGTGTAGAGTTTTAGTGCAGATTTCGTTGGCTGAAATGTACGAAAGGAATGCACACTACGATTATGTGATATGCATTTGTAGTGTGCATGTGCACAAATAGTGTACTCCGATTTTGTCTGCACATTTAAATCATATGTACACAAACTTTTGATATTTTTTAATGTGTTTTGTACATGTACAATACGTTTTAATGGTATATTGTTTATACCGTCCACTTAATTCAAAAGTATATCTTAAAATGTTAACTACATCTTCTTGTGTAAGGAAGCATGCATTTTTATTTTCTTGATGACAGGATCAAATATATTCTTGATATTTTTTTAGATGCGTTATTTATTAATATTAGCCCAGAGAAAATATTTCAATTCGCTGAAGATTTACCATACTTTTTGCACGTTCTTATGAAAGTTGCCCGAGCATTTCAACCAACAATTCTTTTTATTGAAGATGCTCATAGAGTGTTTTGGAAAAAGATTCCCGAAGATCAAAAAGGAATTAATCCCAGAATGCTTCAAAAGTCAATAGCAAAAAAAATTTTAAAACCTATTAAAAAAGATGATAGAATAATGCTATTAGGTACAAGTGATGTCCCATGGACTGCCAAACCGAAATTTAAAAAAATCTTTCAAAAAATAATATTAATTCCGAAAAGTGATTATGGTTCCAGTTTTCTTCTCTGGTTAGAATTTGTTTCCCAAACAGCTGATCAAGATGTGATAGATGACTATGTATACTCAGCCTTAGCCAAAACGTTTCAGGCTTATAATTCTGGCGAAATTGTAAACAACGTGGAAACGACCCTTAATATCCAAAGACGTTTGGAGTTACGTCAAGCTTCTTTAGAGCCTGAAGAATTTGTAGACCATTTTATTGGTGGAGAAAATTCGCAACTACCCTTGGATCAAAAAGTATTCCTTATTAATTATAACTGCCAATTTTAAGTCATATGTTTTAATTTTACATATTTATAGATTGTGGATAAGTATGAAAACTGGTATAAAAAGGCAAATAAATACGCAAAAATGCGCAAAAAGTTTTTAGCTAAACAACAAGCAAAACAGAAAAAGAAATAAACAAAAATCATTATAATTCAGAAGGAATATCAATAAAGTTTTTCCAAGATGTTCAATAAACTTAAATAAATACAGGAGTATTTCACCTATATATCATAATAGTTCACCTTCATAGCTTATGTAACTTTTGGAATCCTTCTATACGGGAGGTAGCAATATCAAATTCTTCAATCATCCTTCACTAACTACAGTCAGTAGTATTTCACTGATAAAGGAGAGTGTCGCTACTTCATAATTGATATTGACGTTAAGGTTATTACAACTATAAAGTATACGATTATTAGGCGTTTCAGTTATATAAAATGTAACCTAAACGAACATTTTCAATGGAAAAAAATAAACAAGATCAATGGTAAGTTATGTTAATGGATATGGATATTAAGTTAATGGATATTACACAATATAAACATGAGGATATTTAAATATCATTAAATACTGAGATTTAGATTAAATAGTTTCATGTAAGGTCTTCTGCTGTCGTTTTAGTCTATAATCTGCTTTTCTACACTCATCAATATCAGTGAATCTGAGTTGTCTCCTTTAATAATACTTCTTAATATAGTTTTGACATTTTATAGTTTTGAGAAAACCTTTTCGTATAGAACTTCAATTGTGGACAAAGTACTAATTTATGTATCATTAAAATACTGCTTCATGTGTTACTATATACACTTACCAAAAGTTTTAAATAAAGATTCTTTTTTAAGTTCATTGTCCTCCTCCGAACTAGAGTTTACGTTATCAAACAAATTTTTTAAAGTTGCTAATTGTCTTAGTCGCTAATTTGATCATGAATGTCACCCCATTTGCCACTATGAAACGCTGATACAATGATTTTAATCGCGGCCGCAGTTCGCTCACTAACGAAATTCCTGGAGGTTGTCCAAAATCAGTTGTTGTTCCATTATTACGTGAAAACGTTGTGAAAACATTAATACTGTGCAAAACCTGATAATGCAAGATCGTCAAGCGACATACTGTGAGATTGAGGGAACCCTAGGCATAGTTCCATTAGTGTGTATAAAATTGCACGATCATTTATTAGTGATAAAGGTTTGTTCTCGTTGGATGTCATTCCCCATCATTTGATGAAATTTCAAAACGACGCTCATGTCAATTGGTGCTCACAAATGCTCAAGAAGTACAATGGCAGTGCTTCAAAAGATGTATACGAGTATAAGATTATAACAGGCGACAAATCATGGATATAAGCGTATGAACAGGATTTACGTTCCTGTTCATAATGAACTAAATCTAACAAAAGTTGTTCGCGCTCAAAGCACTTCGTAACAAGTGGTCGCTTATTTTTTCGGAAAACTGGTCATGTGACAACTATACGGCGACCATCACACGAAATTAAAATAATCAATTCCGAATGGTATACAACCATTTGTTTACCGGGAGTCTTCAGTGAAAGACGGAAAACAAACAAGCGCCGTCGGATCATTCTTCATCAAAACAACACGAGTGCTCTCACATCTCATCTAACAACCAACTATGTGAACATTCAAAAAATCGAATTGATGGGGCATCCGCCGTACTGGTTTCGGTCTTGATTTTGCACCCAATGATTCTTGTTCCCGAACGTCGATAGAGAACGTTTTTTTATCGGCGGAAGAAGCTGTTGTCGCATATGTGAACATTCAAAAAATCGAATTGATGGGGCATCCGCCGTACTGGTTTCGGTCTTGATTTTGCACCCAATGATTCTTGTTCCCGAACGTCGATAGAGAACGTTTTTTTATCGGCGGAAGAAGCTGTTGTCGCATTTAAAAAGCATATTTTGGAGGTGTCTGAAGAACATTTGAAAAAATGCTTGGACAAATGGTTCGAACGCATACAAAAGTGTATTAATCATTAAGAAGAATACTTCCCGAAACAATAAAGCATTTTTCAACGACAAGTAAGTATTTTTTCATTATTAGACTCAAAATATAAATAGTGACCCTCGCATTGGCTCTGTGATTTTTATAATATAGACTTTTAACAATACATAATTTTATTTATTATATTTTTCATCATCATCGAAAATGCCATAGATTTGAAGATCAAAACACCTGATGCATGAGTTTGGGTGATTCTTTGCTTATTGGTTAGCGCATGCATGCAAAACGCATGTTTGAAATTTGTCTGCCTAATTATAAACATATTTTCTTCTATCTATGTGCCTGTTTTAAAGTAAAACGGATATTAAACTATAAAGTTCCAGTTCTGTAGTGTCAGTACAAAGCAAAATACTTAACAAAGAAAGAAAGCATTTTTAAAAATATTCATATTCATATTAATATATTTAAGCTAGAAAACTCCACTAAATACAATGTAGAATGGTTCAAAATATTTTTTGGGGATTGAGGACAATAACCCCTTAAGTACCAGGAAACTTCAAACTTGGAATTTTATGGTGAAATTTTCAAAAAGGTATTATTTTTAGTTAATAATAGTCTAAAAATAGTGCAAAAATAAATTTTTATTTCGAAAATTAGTTTTCGGAAAAGTGCAGTATGGTTAACCACACGCTGGGACCCTTTGATAGTATAAATCTTTTTCTGTCCGGTTTGTTCGCAAATATGGTATTTAGTTACTTTTATGGTCTGGTCAAGTCAGTACCATTGTAACGTATATGAACTATATTTAAGTATAAAAGTCAATGTTTTATGCCTTTTAAGTATTTATTAGTAAAAAATATTTATGAATAATCACATATGTTTTGTACAATGTAAAAAGAAAAAAGCTTACATGCGTCGTTGTTTACGATCAATGTAATATTGTTTATTCTCATAGAAAATTTTAAGGCAATTTTCTACATGACTATGAACATTGCATTTTTCACATGTAAAAACTGTGGCTTTCGGAGTACAAACAGTACAGCGGTGGCGATTTTGAGTTTTTATGGGAGCGTGCGTACGGATCACATGTAGTAAATTACTCAAAAGGTAAACATGTTCTGATAATTTGTGGTAATATATATACTTTTTCCAGTTCGGCTTAAAATCACTATAAAGATGATATTTTTTTACAGATCTTTCAAGTTCCAATGTTAATGGATGCGATGTTGGAATTTTCACAAAACCACCATAATCTTCTTCATTTGATTCGTATACAACCTCAAAAGTACCTAAATACCCTTCCACAATTAGACGAACGCAATTCAAAAAAGGAGAATAAAATACTAACCTCCCACTTCATTCAAAGGGCTCAAGTCGTATGAAGTGTTTGTTGACTTCATCATGGTCATCACTTTATTGTCGACTTCAGCAGCAACAATATCCGGTGGAAAATATATCACCATTTCAATAGGTAGTGGAATATCATTTAGCACTGATGTGTCATGTTCGGTCCATATGTCAATAATATGCAATAGTTCCTGATTTGTTAGATATCTTCGGGACGACATTATAATTTTATTTATAGTAAAATAATGACAACAGAACTTATCCATAGTAAAATAGCACAAGTTTAAGTAAATTAGAAGAGTATAATATTTAGTAGAGAGATTACTCTCACTTTGTCTTTACCTAACGACTAAAATTTATATTGCATTATTTCATCATTATAGTACTATGGGACCCAACGTGTGGTTAGTCACACGCCTTTTTTCGCTGGCATCCCGTGGTAAGTAACTGCTATTATGGCGTCGAAAAAAATTACGAAAATTATATTTCGCCTTTTGTGAACACATGTTTTAATAAATAAATTGGTTTTTATTTCAATATGTTTTAATTTTTATTTAATTAAAAAAAGCCCTTTTTGGACACTTTTTATGTCTGGCAGTGTAAACTCATGGATGAAAACTGTTCATCCATGAGTTTATATATATTTTTATATTATTAAGATATCAAACTCAATAATAAATATGAAAAACGTTGAATTAATTACTTTTATATATTTTTTAAAAATATTTAAAGCTAGTCGTGTAGTGCACCACACGGTGGTCCGAAATGGGTTAAACCAACCTTCATATACGTGACTGCTGTAGATACATTTAACAATAACTAAATACTGATGCCTATAGTTTATGTTTGGTTCATGAATCTTCTCTAATATACCTGCTTTAAGTAAAGAGATAATTTTTTTTTTAATTAATGGTTTGCATGCTTTTTTATATCGTTGAAAGGTCTTTCAAGGAAATGCTTTAATTTCATACTACATATATACTATAATTACTATGTGAAGATTTCTTTTACTAAATTGCCAATGTCGAAATCGGTTTGTTAAGCTCGCTTCCTGGTACCAATATTTTTCCAACGTTTCGTCAAATGTTCTGAGCCACAACTTCTGACCATACAGCATCTACATATTGATAAATATTGTAGCCCAGTATGAATTAAAGTCTTACGTTTATTATATGAGCGTCTTTGCTATGAACTATACTATTTTCTATAATTTAGAAAAGAACTTTCTTTTGTGATGACAGCAACGGGTGTAGCGCTTTCGTAAGGGCTTGTGAATACCTCATTCTTATTAACTAATGTTTATGAGTGGTTGAGACATTGATTCTTCGATTTTGATAAGAACTTTAAAGTTGGAATGCCTTCCAAGGTTAGTTACACCTTAAGAGAGGTGTATTAGTTGTAGTTGTGATTAGATACCTAAAAAGAAGCTTGAAAGTTATATACATATACATTATACGTATAATATATAGATATTTTTAATGTAAACACAAATCTTAGTTTTAGAAACGTGTCTTTATTCATAAAATTATAATTAAATTTTAAGCAATATCTAAGAACTTAATGTATTACTTTACGTGAAATATTCTTGGAATAAATATACATATATGCTTTCGTTCATAATTTCGTAAATATATGTCTGTGTTGTGTGTGCCATGGGCTCAATTTATTTGTGGAATTTGTATCTAATGTGAGAATATAAGGATTAATTAATTTTTGCTACTTATTGTACTAGTTGCAAATGAATTATTTACTTCACAGATTCTTACTAACAAATCTATTAAGTAGAAACACTGGAAATAATTTAAACATATTTACTAACAAGAATTATTAAAAAGCTTAAATATACAAAATTGTATACCTCAATATAATATATTAATAAGTATATATTAATATATATATATATGTATATTACAGTAATTATAATTAAAGGATAGAATTCTCTTAATTTACATTTTGTTTTATTTGTATTGTACAATAATTTTAACTAATTAACTTTAAATTGTAAAAGCCTATTTATTACGTCAATATTTTACTTGAGTGTATAAGAGCCATTATTTTTATCATTTTTTGTCATTGTCGAGCTTATTTTTGTCTAGTGATGATGTAACCATTCCGCCGCCATTTGATGGGTATAATTTGTCCAAATAATTAAGAGATTCGTTTAAAAAAGTCTGAAAATTGGATTATGGACTAAAATAATACTCTGAAAAATCACATAAGGTAAACTACCTGAAAAGCATGCAATACCGCCATGATAGCTGGAGAACCAAATCCGTGGGTAATTAACGAAAAATGTGTGAGATGACGTTGCATTGACGGTTCCAATAGATGCTGTGATCTTGTGCCATATTGCGTAGTTCTATCTTGGCTAAGAACTTGCATAAGTTCCTTTGTTATCTAAAATTAAGAGACATAAAATTATTTAATTTATTATTTCAATTATTAGTACTATATATAAGTTAAATATTCTTTTATTTAATTTAATATTAAAAGTTAAATATTCTTTTATTTAATTTAATATTAAAAGTTAAATATTCTTTTATTTAATCAGAAGTATTGATGTTGCTTCTTCGGCACTTTTGGGAAGTTGGGAGCTACCGAAACCAAACGGGACTTTTTCAGATAAACAAGTGGATGTTCCGTTTGGTAGCAACCATGCGTTCGAACAATATAGCTTGATTGCTCCGTTAATAAAACTAAGCACAGGGCCGGATTTGGGGTACGCGGGTGTTAACTTATATAAGTAATATTCTAGGATGTAGCCAAGCAGTGAGGGGTTATGGAACGGTGACTTCTTCTTTAAAAAAGTACCGGAAATAGTATTTCATGGAACTGTGCAACCAGTCTTATTTAGCAATTAATTTTAATGGCAATTTTAATTTAGATTTTAAAACAATGGATTTAAACAAAAACACAAAATATGTTTTCCCTGAAATTGTTAACAATGAATGCCTATTGTTTAATAACATAATAAATGCCAAAGAAAAAATGAAAGAAAATGAATAATAAATTATCAGGGGAATACTACAACTAATTAAAGAAAAAATCCTTTTGTATTACACGAATATTAATAGGTGAAACCACAGTAGTGGATTGGAAAACTGGAATAATTTTGTCAACGTTTAGGTGAAATCAATCATTGTATCAACGTTTCAATATGTTTTAGAAAATTGTAGAGGAATTAACTTCCTTAACTTATGGTACAAAACATTCGCCAGCTTCTCTACTCTCGATGAAATCTTCGTGCTAAAGCAAAAGATTGAAAAATATGATGACCAGAGGTTTGACTTCTGTGCATTGTTTATTGATGTCAAGTAAGTCTTTACAACCGAAATAATAAATTGACCGAAGGTTAACGGTCTTTTTCGAAAAACCGACCGAACTAACGATATCAACTCTGAAATGTACAAAAGTAAACTTGATGGCACAGACAATAGAGTCCCAAGTTTTTAATATAACGGTCAGAATCAAGAAAGAAGATATGTATTATGTGCAACAATATTACACCTGATAACATTGTGCAAATATAATCAAGATTGTTGTCAGATCAGAAAATTTATTTATAAAGCGATAGTGGCGGATAATCGGTGTAACTTCTCGAGTAATGTTATTAGATAAAGTATAAAATTATTCGCATTGGAGGTAAAAGCTAGAAAAAAAATATATGATACCTTTATTAACAGAGGGACCATTTGATGTTGTGGACAAGTTTCCATATCTTGGCATTCTGATGAAAACATAAATCTAAATACTTCAACGACTTATATATATAACTTTATATATTCAGATAAATAGTTCCATATTTATAGTCAATATTGTGATGTTAATTTTTATCAGCATGTCAATGACGAATTAGGATGCTATGTAAGAGCGAAAATGAAACAAAATCAGGCGCTTATGACTCATGACCCATGATTCAACGGTCGTTCAAAAATGCGTAAGACTGCAGATGTAGAAGCTGATTTGTGAAAGATAAAAGTACAGACATAAAGTGCTGAGATATATTCAAACCCTAGTTCAATGGAGTAAGAATTTTTCAGATCTGTAACGCCGTAAGATGATCATTATAATTCGAATTGACAAAATACGACTCCGAATTTATTAGCTATTAAATTTTTAGTTACGTTAAAACAACATTACTTGGGTTTTCAAACTATTTTTTTCAAAATTAATTTTAATTTAATTCAATTTAATGTGAAAAGAATAATTAATAAATCAAACTCTGATGTAAAATATTTATTTTTGAATAATAATTAAAAATTAAATTGTCTAAAATTAAATTATTTTTAGACCCGTTATAAGTACCTGTTGTGAGTGTAGCAATAGTTCTTTCCTCCGATAGGATTCTTGCGGTTCTGTTTGATGCCTCACAATATATTCGGCAAGCTGTCGAGCGGGAAATTCAGTTTCACAAACAAAATGAAAGTCCTTCGCTAGGTGTGTAGCTTCGCCCTCCACCAAAGACGTTAGTAGTGTTACATTTGCAGCCTTTCTTCGTCCAGCAGGTAAGTTCAAACCAATTTTTTCAAGCTTTTCCCTAAGCAGTCTTCCGCCATTTTTGCTTTTAGCTCTAAGAATTCACGTTTGAAGGTTAAGAAATTGTGCTTTATTGTAAAATCATTTTAAACTTGTTCGTACCTTCGCAGAACTCCACCTAAAAGCGATGCATTCAAACACTCCGGAGGTGACAGTCTTCTTTGGACTTCGGCAATAGTCACTTTGTATTTTGATGTACTTGAAAGAAGACTCAAACGGCCGGGAACAGCACAAAATACTTCACTCGGCGAGCCTGAGCTGATATTGCCGACATCCTTTCCACTTTTTATACCTTTAATACAAGCAAGAAACAAGAAGTTTAAAGGAATGGGAATTCAAGATGTATCTGGTAAAATACAATACAAAGCAAACGCATAATGCAATTATTGTTAATATTAATAATGTTGTTGTTGTTATTATTATTATTGTCGTTATTTTTGTTATAAGTGAACACGAAACATTGACGAAACGAAACAAAACACTCTAAACGTTCAAGAGTTCTACTGGTGGTGCAGAGGGTCGTTTTACATAATCCTGCCAATTAGAGGTGTCGGATTCTGCAGCACAATGCAACGATACTGTTTGAAAGTAACTCCTTGTTTTGTCCAGGTGTGTTTTTGTCACCACCTCATAAACATCGTGCAATGCCTAAGCGGCAGGCAGAGAGAATTACAAAAAACTCATTTCCGAAGAAAATTTATTAAATTTGAGACCAAAACGAATGTACGAATTTCGCTAAATTGGGGTAATTTGCTATTGAAAAGTGCAATACTGATTACAACTAAATCAAATGAATGTTGTTCTTTCATTTTGTAATAAATCGGCAATTAATTTATTCTTATGTTACTTATAAAATTATTTTACAGTGATATTTACACTTACTTTTTATCAATGGTAGATCTGACATAAATGCGACGTTGTCATCCATACCAGGATTTTGACCATCATCAACAGCATTTTGTAAAGCTTGGTGAAGTGCTAAGGGGTCATGCTCGTGAGTGAGTCGTCCACCATGGGCAGTTCCACCTGATATTGCACTACCGTAATCACTTCTTCTGTCAGTATACGGAAATCCATGTGAGAGTTGTGTCTACAATCGTTTGATAATTTTGAAATTTATTTGTTTGGTAAATAATTAAAATTAATTTTAAAGTTAACTAAGATTAAGGAACTGGACTGCTAGGTCCTTTGTTCTGCTCTTTTTGAAATTATTTGGATAAGTCTTACATAAAATAAATTTATAAACTAATTTAAATATATGACAAATAATACGTTTCCTATAACTCAAGTGAACAAAGGGCTTATTTAAGATCGGTCTACTTATAGCCAAATAAATAACCTGTTTGTATATATTATATACAAAATTTAACTAGTATTCATCTTTCTATATTCAGTTGAAGCTTGTAGTTATAAAAGAGTGATTCAGGTTTTATGATAGAAGGGGTTTTATTGCAGAAAAGTTATGGAATCTAATCAAATGAAATTTTTACATTTAATTTATTTTCGAAAAAAAATTTAAGTGTAATTGAAGAGAAAGTGTTTTATAATATTATAATAATATTATAATATATTTCGAAATTTGGACGCAATTCAATATACATAATACTCAAGCATTTGCAAATAATATTTTTATAGAAAAAATTACGATATAATAATTTTCTTTAATGGAATTTAATTTACTTTTGAGAAATTTACTTCGCATGAAACCAAATTTTTGTTTCCAAATTTTTCGCAAAAATGTTTAAAAGAAGCGTAAAAAAGCAAGCCGAAAAGTTTTTCCCAATACGACTTAAAGAAAATAACACAAAAATATTTTCACAACTTAAATATTTAAGGGTTGAAAGGAAAAGTTCTGCTAGCCAATCCCAAAGTTTCTTCCTTCAAATAAAGCACATCCGCACTCATAACAGGGCAATTAAAAAATCATTGTTTAATCGAGGGATCATCTTTTGCGTTGGGGAAAATATTTTAAATACCCTCTTATTAAGCATATTTGCTTATTTTCGTAGAGCACATGAACTCGGCAGGAGTGTGTGCGAGTATGCCAAGACAACGTTATGAGAATTTTTCCTTTCAAACAAGATGAACAAGAAAACATTATCCCAAGAATATTCGCAGAATGTTGGCAAGAATTTTTTCTGCAATACATATACTCTTATAATACAGTCATTACGGAATTTAGACAAAAATGTCTCGGAATACTCCCAACTTTGGTGTATGTATCAAAAAAATTATGTACGTCAAAGGACGGGAACTGTATACGTAAGTTTGCTGTATGTGTCAGAATTTATTTGTGCTTTCGTCATGTTTCAAATTGAACTGTCAAATTGAATAACAGAATGGTTAAATTAGAAAAATATTGTGATTGACTTACCATGTGACCCTGCAGCTCTGCTTCTCTGTGAGATCTATGTATACCGAGTTGATCTTGAGTAGATCTCAGTCCAGCTAATTGATTGTAGTGATGCAAAGGCGCGTGATGTAATGAAGACAGTGGTTGGCCATATGGATCGGTTCCCAGATATTCTAAAGCTCCATGATTCTGTAAATATGCAGGTATCTGATCAATATTAAAAACGCTGTGATTAGAAATTTATTACAAATGATATATGAAAATGAAGAAATAACGTTCTATTTTTGTTGTGGTATATATATATGTATATATTTGAAAGGATTTATAATTACTTGTTGCTGTGGTGGACTTTGCGTTGAATGATGAAATGGTGGTGGAAAGTATGGAGGCTGAAAATCTGATTGTAGTGACTGGTGATGCATTGTCGCTGCACTACCATGTGTGCCGCCATGCCCTCCATGCCCCGCAGACGGACCACCTCGACCGGTGTGGCCTCCTGTATGTGTTGAATAGGCTGGACTACTACTCGACAAACCTAAGCTGCCGTGACTAGTGAGGCGTTCCTAAAAAAATTACAATTTGTTGTTATAATTATTTATGTATATTTCACTCATTATTATAAAACAATAAGTCACTACAACAAAAGTCCTAAGTTGATACAATTATAGAAAAATAATTTTTATTAATGGTTGTTTAAGATAGAATAGAATAGCTTGTAATAGATAGAAATTTATAGTGGGCTTAACATGATTCAATGATAATAGAAATAAATTTTTGCTTGAAACCCCAAATTTCTTTATAAGAGCGAAGATTTTTTTAAAAAAATGATAGTCGCGTTAAACATTAATTAAAATTGTTTTTGTCTTACAGTATATAAATTCAAATGGATGTTATAAAATAATTTTGACTACCAGAAGTCATTGTGGTATATATAGAATATACAAATTAAAAATATAAAAAATTAATTATTGATGTAGGTATACCTTGATTGTTTTATAATAGTCCGGTAGCCTAAAATTTATTCATAAAATAATAAAAATGTAAGAATATGTCTCATCAAACTACGGATTAAGAATTCTTAATAATTTGGTGTAGCAAAGTTTCATTTAAGATTAATTAAAAATACATAATTATTTTAGGAAAAATCAAGTGTATATATTGCATATACCATTTCAAAAATTATATAGCAAAATCTTGTTGAACATTATAAAGGATTCAACAATTTTTATTTTATTATATTTCTCTAAGAGAGACTAACGGAATAATTTCAATGCATGTTTATAATTTAAATCCTAGATTAGAATATATCAAAAACCGTGTTACTTAAGAGTGAACCCACGAGTTTTTATAATTAATTAAAGTACTCTGATTCGTACTATTCGGAACGAGTGTATTTATTACACGTTCCATATGTTAATGATATAGCTTGGAACTCATCAAAGTAGTATAAAACAAATTATAGGTCCAGATTTTATAAGTATTAATTAAGGATTTTATCGTTGGGAAAGGTAACCGAAAGTATTTTTATATTTTTGAAGTATTTTTGACAAAACTTCCAATATTCATATACTATTTCTCTAAGAAAATGTAAATATATTAAGCAGAAACAGTATTTATGTAGTACTCGTGACAGTACAGGGGCATTTCAAAGTAAAAAGAATTAAAAAACAGAGGTTTAAGGTGAGGCTATTATATATGTTGGTAAGATAGATTCTTTACTGATACACGTTTTGAGTATGACGGAATTAGTTGTTTGTATGGCTTGTACGTCCCTAAAATACTTATCATAAGCGGCAGGGAAAACAGTTGATATATAGTTTTTAACCAAAAAATTTGTTATAAGTTCATATTGATTGATCCTCAGTTAAATTGTGCATAACAAACCATTCACCTAAACCTACACCTACTAAACCATACATCTAGTTTCAACTGATGTTTAATGAATAAATTAGCAATTTAGACGAATTTAGGTTGAGCAATGAATCTTCACAGCCGTTTTTAGGTTTAATTAGTCTTATTCATGAACTCTTCAACTGGATGAATAATCATCATCATTAACTCGGTTGATAATTGGTATCGTTTCGATAATAGCTTTACGATGCACATTTGTATCGATAACACAAACACTTTGTCACTTCATATGGAACAAGTCCACTTTTATACATGTAAATATTATAAATTTTTGATATTGCACCAGTTAAGGATTTATCTTACGGATTACATATAATTGCGAATAGATGACCTTACTACAAATACATATGGTATTTTTAAAAGGTCCTGTTTAAATACTTTGGACTTCACAGAAATTGAAATTTTTCAAAAATATGTTTTTTTTATTTTGGAATTATTACGAAATGATACATAGGAGAAGAATAAGTATAAAATTGGATTGATCGTAGTCAATTCCACTCAGTATAACAACAGTGGTAGGAGTGCAGTAATAATAAAAAATTTTTAACTTGCAAATTGTTTTGAGTGTAATTTTAGAATTATGGCAGGAATAATAAAGTAATAAAGTAGCGTAGTTTGAAATAAACTGGGAATAGTGTTCGATGAAATTTGATTACTCTGCAAAGAGGATGTGAAGATTCTCATCCGCGTTATGGAGGAACGGCTCTGCACAAATGCTTAAACCAAAGAAAACAAATAAAATAACATATATTCGAAGTTTTGAAGAATACTTTTATTTATTGTAGACATACGACTTACTGAGTCACTCAAAGCTCACGTAGGGGACACAATAGATCTTAAGGTCACGAAACAAAATCCGTTTTTTATAATAATAATGAATGGATTTATAAAAAAAATATAAATATTTGCTTTTGTGTTAATTCTAATACTTAGTTTTAGCCTTAGTTTATGTTCTATGAATAATTTAAAAAGGTGGTTGGTTAGTGAACGTCTGAATAATGGTCACTTTCTTTAAAATAACTCTTTGTAGAAAATGGATAGTTGTAGCGTCTTGATGAGGCTATAATTAGTTCTATTCGATCATAGCCAATAAGCCTTACTAAGTTAGGCTTAAAATAAACCTTTCTTGAATAAAATATCTGCAGTGGCATTAAAGACAAGTTCTTATCTGTAAGAAAAGTGGATTTAATGATTTTGTAGATATAAAATATTTGCAATAAAATTTAATTATTTGTATTCTATCAATATTAACTTATATACAAATATTTTGAGATCGTTTAACAGTGGTATTTCTTTTTCTGTTGTCGTTTTGCATATGAAATTTATGATTTAGATTTCAGTTATGTTTGTGATAAGCTTTATAGTTGGGAATTCTGATAAGAAGTTTCAGTTTATAGAGAAAATGAAGTAAAAATAACGCTTTAAACTTCAGTTAAAATTATGTTCAAATGAATTGTCTCACTAGAATCCACTAAATATGACATTTTATAGAAAAATTCTTATCTATATATTATCCTTTGAATAGTTGTATATATGCAATTACTAATATGTAATTCCTAATTTCACATTCGATACTTTGTGCATCCTTGTCTTAGTCATTGATATGTTTCAAAAGTATATCGTTAACAAGAATTTCTGGTCTCTTCACTAACTGTGACTGATTCTACCTAAAACACTATGCATGGAGCCTAAACGTTTAATTTTAAATTCATTTATTTGAAGTAATTGTTTTTTATAACGAAATCATTTAATTACAAAATGAACTCATCGTTTAGAATGATTTTAAGTAGAAATGAAAAAGGTTTATACAAGGTATTAAGCCAAAATTAAGAGCAAATGGTATTGGATCGCAATATAGGTCTTTACAATAAAGTTGAATAATGTTTACATACAATATTCACATTCTTGATTGTATTTAATCTATTAAATTGTCACATTAAAACACATAATTTTTAATATACAATTCTTTTATTTTGAGCACATTTGATATTTTTCCTGGATGAGTTAAAGGCCAAATTATTTAATGATATTTTCTGTTCTCCGACTCGAAATAAATAAAGGGAACATAGAACATTTTTAGTATTATAATAATATAATAGTATAAAAAAAAAATTATATGATAGCTTTGGAGATACGTATGTGAAGAGAATTTTCCTATTAAAGAAAAGTAGTGAGTTAGTATTATATGGTGGATATCCACCAGTTTTATAAATACTTTGAATATAAATTTATAAATAATTTAATAATTTATATATAATTTATATATAAATGAAATTTACAACCATGAAGGCGACGAAGTAACTAATAGGATAACAGGGTTATATCCACCTTATGGTGTGCGAGTGATATCTTACATCAAATAATCTCGACTTTATTCTGTTTTAGAACAGAGAGGATGAAGGCACTCATGTTAGCGAATTATTTTTCTGTACGATTTTTGTTAATTTGCATATACAAATGAATATATGAAAATATAGTTTAATTGAAAGTTGTTTTATTTTGTTACTAATAAATTAAAAGCAAATAGTTTTTCATCAAAATTTATAGAATTTAAGAAATTTACAATATTTGTGTAATTGTTTAAATGATCAATTATAGAACACATCCTTGTTATTTGATTGACTGTGAGGAATCCAAAAGAATTCATATTCATATTCAAATGTATTGTTTTAAATTATCTGGAATTTTCAGATTAATTAATCATTTTAAACCAAACAGTATTGATTTAAAATATTGTATTGGAAATTAACTGTAATTAATTTTATATGTTCAATAACAATCAACTATAATTAATAGCCATGTTTCGATTTTATAATATAACACAATTTATATAAGCATTTAATTATTTTAGGTTATCATTTGCATTAGAATCTTATCGGATAAGTACTTTCACAGCAATGGAAATAAATGACAGTAATATTATTAACACATATTTTTAATATATTATAAGTCTATAAGTATTTCGAGATATTTTTGTATTTTGATTTGTGACTTGTATATCTTGTATACTTGTATATATTGATATATCGTTTTTCCCGTCGCTAAATCAACAGCATTGATCTTGACAGAGAAAACTTTATAAATTTCATTTGGAAATATATATTTTGAAAGATCAAAAGATCCTTTTTAAAAATTTGGCAGTTTATTTATATTTTAAAGATTCAGGTTTTCTTAATTAATTAATGACTACTAATAATTATATAATAATTCCTATTGATTGTTGATACATTGGAAATTGTGTAAATAGCTAGCTCATTTCAAATATTGATAAATATTATATAATTTTGGAAATATTAATATTATGCAAAAGACATTAATCAGTTTTCGAGAAGAAGTCCATTGTACTTTGCTGTTAGCTGTTAGGTGTATAGCGGCTTTATTTGTTTGTTAAAAATTAATTATATTGATTATTTTTAGCTAAATTTATTCATTTTCCTTTGCTAGATTTTGATATGTGTATCTTGTGCTGTGCTGTGTAATTAATCTGAGTAGTTTTTTACCTGTACGTCAATAACAGTAGGCATATCCACATAAGCTAGAGTCATGGTCTCATATTCTTAATAGGAGATTCGAAACCCACTTCACTTCTAAAGTTAAGGGCAGTTGCTAGTCCGATTTTTAAACACTTTGTTATTATTTATTCAAATTCGAA